CTATTAGAAGGAAACATCTAAAGCGTATGAAGAAAAATCCGATCTAGGTCTCTTCTTCTTCTTCCCCGATTTCTCTCTGTATCATCGATCGAAGAATTAAGGTAATGGACAAAGGTAAAGCAGTGATGGGTACTGGTCGGAGATGGGCCGTCGAATTCTCCGATCAATCTACTGTTCCTTCTTCCCGCGACATCCTCGATCCCCCTGGCTTCTCTCGTGCTTCTCCGGAACAGGTTCGCTTTTTTATTTCTCTCAGTGCTTAGATCTTTTGTTGTTCTCTATTGGATTTGAGCTTCAATTTGAAGTCATTATCGTTGATGGTTTTCGTTTTCAGGATGATTCAGCAACCAGTCGTCAAAAGAAAGATGCTGAAGCTAATTGGAAACTTCAGGTATTTTATGTCAAATCTGAAACTTGTCTTCAATTGTGGAATCGATCTTGGTCCTACTATGTAGATCTTAAAAGTTATTGACTTATTGCACAGGATATACATAAGACTGTCTTTTACTGTTCAAATTGTTCCTTGGTGACATTAGGGAAGGAGAATTTTCTTGTTTTAGCTGACTGAGATTGGGCTTTGATGTGGGTGGACAGAGTTTAAAATTGATTTGTTTTCCTTGGTGAATGAGTAGAAAGCATGGGAAGTAGCGCAATCTCCATTTAAGAATTTGATGATGATGGGTTTTATGATGTGGATGGCTGGAAACACAGTGCATCTCTTCAGCATTGGTATTACATTCTCGGCTCTTTGGCAGCCGATCAGCGCTCTCCAGAGCGTTGGAAAGAGTAAGTTTCCTTCACTGCATTCGTTCTTCTTCGCCTAATATGCAATTAGTCGCAGTAGTTAGCTTGTCATCCCACGACTATATGTAGTTTATCGAACTTAGGAGTATCTCTATTGGAAAAAATATAAGAGCTAAATGAAAGGTTGAACTTTCAGTAGTATCGAAAGGGTTAGATCGAATTACTTGGTTTGCATAATGCTTTTTCCTTTACTTTGGATACTATGCTTTGAAAATGTTAGCAAATGTCTATCGTCATCTTCATGTGCATCGAGACATAAGCAGACAGACATATTTGAAATGGTTACGGCATATGTGGAATAGAGACAAATATTATCCCTAAGAGAAGGAATAACTGCTTCTCTAGAATTTTGACTATTCCCATCTTTAAATGATAGGGTATCTTACTACTAAACATATCTCGCTGTTGTGTACAGTTTGATAATTTGAGTTATAATTTGGTTTGTGAATTCAAGTCCAGTATCTTTCATCCTTGCATTTAACCTTTTACCCTTGTGTGCAGTTTTTGAGCCATTCAAGGATAACAAGGTGGAACTACTTATGCCGAAATTAGTGTTTCTGGCCCTAAACCTTGGAGGGTTAGCTTTGGGTATCTGGAAGGTGAGAAACGTTTCCTCATCGTTTCCTCTTAAGGCAACACTTCCTAAATTAGAAGTATAGAGTACTGTTTTTCTCATACAAAAAAATTCACTTTCTCAGCTCAACACTTTGGGACTTCTTCCAACACATGCATCAGATTGGGTTTCATCTCTTGCCCCTCCTCAGGTTCGTTTATTTACGTCTGAAGCAAAATCTCGCGTAAATGTGTTTCTACATTATCCCTGATGCGAGAATCTGGCATTTTGACGCATCATCTCTAACCTACACATCATCGCGTAAATGTGTTTTCTCCTTTTTTTTTTTTTCCAGGAAGTCGAACACTCGGGAGGAGGATTCGTTTTCCACTGATGAATCTGCGTGTCCTGTATTTTAAATAATCCGCTAAAAACGGCGAGAAGACTAAAGACACTTTTGTGAGATAACTACAACAGATGCTTAAGTGATTCGTTCAACCCTATCATTAGGAGGGAAAGCTGCATATGGACCTTCTCTGTAGCATTCTCAAAACTCAGAAACCGTAGCTTTTTTCGCTTTTCAGTATGAGATGTTCATTGTTCATCATAACTTTGAATGTATTATTGTCACTCAAGGGACCTATTTCCCAGCTTTTTTGTTCTATCAAGACTAAAGTTTTACTCTTTATTGCTTTTATGCATTTACACTAACTAACTAAAAAATCGAAGCTTGGGACCTTCTAGTTGATTCAGAAGGTTACAAGGTGGACTCTATGGAAACTAGGTCAAGTCTGGTAAGCACAAGACGTGGAACAAAGTGCAGTCTTTAGGAATCATTTAAGTCGGTCTACTCAAAAATCTCTCGACGACAAAATTGTTTACTTTAATGATTATAAGATTTAGATAATAAAAGATTTTACCAAAAACAAAAAAGAGAAACAGATATTTTTCATTATTAATCTTCTTCCTTTTTATTTCAATCTTCTTCCGTTCTTATAGTAATTGATAAAACGAAAAGATGAATCTAATAAGCTAACCCGATCTGAAAATTTTCTTTCTTTTTTTGTTATACATCACACAAAAAAAAGGATTATGATTCTTTGATCACAAATACTCATACTTCGTTACTGTTTTTGCTAAGA